CCCCCCATACTAACAAAAATAGGCAAAAGGTGAATTACAAGGTTTTGCTGTTTGCGTTCAAAAGATGGAGCAGGTAACACAGGAAAACTTAACAAAAATAAAAATTAAAGGAAGTTTTGTGGTTCTGCAAAGGTGTTAGCATAACTTACACACCTGAAAATAACAGTAGCTATGCTACTCCTCACCCACATGCTTGCTAGTCAAACATGTACTCTCTCAAGGAATGATAAATGACACTTTTGCCCTGAATATCTGGGTAAAAAAGCAAATGAATCATCATAAGAGGAAAGATGTATGACAGCAAATGCTCTGCCCTAGTTAAGGGTCTAGAAAAACAGCTGAAGAATACTAATTGAAACAAAAAATCCCTCACATTCTGCAAATGCCTCCTTTGTCTCATTACAAAGTATTGAAAGTGAAGTGCTCAGTGTGGACGGATTTGAAATGCCTCTAGATTGACTTGCTGTTACTCTTTAAAGACCCTTGAAGTATATTTTATATAATTGGGCATTTATTTATTATTACCCTACCTTTATAAGTAACCCAACGTGGCAAACATACCCAGTACTGGTTTCTCCTATATTCTCCACAACAACAACCTTGTGAGGTGGGTTGGACTCAAGAGAATGGTTGACCTAAAGTCATCTAGCTAGATTTCATGCCAAGGTAGGAGAAGAACTCACAATCTCCTGGTTTCTAGCCTGGTGCCTTAACCACTATATAAAATTGGCTCATTGAAAACAGAACAAATCTCATTAAAGCAATTCACAGCAATAAATACATTGGGTTAGGCATACCTGTTCTATTATGTATCCGATAAGACAGCTTGTGATAGGTCGAACGTGCTCCCATTAGCAATTTATAATGAACAGTATTCCATAATCTGTTACTTTAATAGACCAGAGACTGCCTAATGGTTGCATCAACTAACCAATATATGCCACTTGTAAGAAAATGCATTAGTCTCTTCTTTGTAGAATTCTTCATAATGGAATGTGCTTCATACATAAACAATAGTGAGGCCATGTTGTGTTTTAGGACCAGGACCAGGACCCAGCACCAGTAGCCTCTTCCATTCTAATATTTTGAAAATGTGTTGACCTCAATTTCTAAGAACAACTATGCCACAGCAGGAAATGCAGGAGTTTGAGTCCTAGGTAAAGAAACCTTGAGGCATCCAGAAGCAGCTGAATTGTTTCATTCTATTTTCAAGCTATAAGAATAGGGATTCTCACTCATAAATTGCTTAATTATTTGTCTAGCCCAGGTCCCATTGCTACACCATACAAAAAAGCTAAGCTGCATAAACTCCTGAAGTGGGTAAAAGGAAGATAATTGTGAATTAGCTTGGGATGCTGGGCGTCATTTGTAACATAATTATTCAGTAAACACAAAGCATTTCTAACAAGTCCAGAAGATAATCCACATTACAGGAAAAATAGAAAATGGGAAATAAAAGCATATCACACCTCAGTGATGAGTGGCATCAGCTAATCAGCTTTCTTAGAGAGCAAGAAATTAAAAACACCAAATATGAAGCAAATAACAAAGTGTTAATAAGAAATGAAAAGCATACTATTATTTGAAATATGACACTGTCCCTTGAAACCTCAAATAGCTGCTCTGCTGGCAATTTTAAGTCTCAGCCATACAAAATAATACCTACAATTATGGCTGACTCAGCTTTAAAAATATTTTCCACTTTCCTTTTAAAATACTTTGAAAGCAGTTATTAAATAAAATGTGTAAGTTTTTTTAAAAGTTGTTTTTGAAAAGATGAGAATAAGGAAATGCATTATTGCCTAAAAATTGTTGCTATGGGATCTTGAACCTGACTGAATGAAGTGAATGGAGACTATTCAGCAGCAAAACCAGATGGCTGAAACCAGATGGGCCAGTATCCTGTACAAAGTTAAAGATCTATGATTAACCAGAGTTTCATCAGCAATTAATGTGTATATACAGCAACAAAACTTGAAAGTAGGTTGCTAAATCATCACTTGAAACTGCTGGAACGAAAATCTGAAAAATATATCAGTGCAAACCATCTTGTGCTGCCTGCAGTACGACTCCACATAAATTAGATATTTGGGACGAAAGAAAACCTTTATTTACTGACGTCTAAGTGTGTGATGTGGTATTGATCCAGATGATTTCAAGACTGTATTCACTTGGTCATTCTTTCTCAATTTGGAACCTTTCTGCTATATTGGACTACAGCTACCATCTTGATATTAAAAGGGAACTGTCATACGACACATATATGTGACGTGAGGCTTTCAGAGGTTGCATTGCAGACAAGCAAACAAAATCCACCAGGGAAAACAAACTGCAATTTCCCCAACTGGGTGCCCTGCAAGGTCCTATCATCCCCAGCTAATATAATCACTTTATGGACCCTTCTTCATGTACGAATATTGAGCAGAAACTCCACTCCAGTGGTGCAACAGGCTAGTGGGGCAAAAGCTCACTCTCTTACTCAGCAGCCTATATCAGCATACCCACACAGAAATTATCACAGGCAGGAAGACGGCCATTGCTCAACACAGACAAGCTTCCCAAATGTACCATTTTAGGGCAACGGAGACTTTCTTTAGTGAATATTTAGTAATCCATTCTAAAATGGCCCAACTATAAATGGCCCATACTTTGTATAGAGTTCAGTAGCCTCAGATAAGCGCATGGAATTGGATGGAAGATAATATTAGAGGAGCTGCCAAGGACAGCAATCAACAGAATTGGGCATCTGAAATGAGAAGTGAGACTAATCCTTGTTCACTAAACTTTAAGCAGAATCTCGTCAAAGGAAGCATTTGTTGGATAAGCCACCCATCCAAGGATCTCATGCTTCCTGAGAGCAGTGAACATCTAACATGCAGTTTACCCCAGTCACAGATCCACAGCAAAACTACCGATAGAAAGGCAGATATTCTGAGTGGTGGAGGGCTATATGGGCCTTATCCTATCCTTCACTTTTTCTTTCCTCAGTATAGCAAACATCAGCATACCAAATGCTAGGAAGGCAAGGGAGTGGAGATTTGTTACTCCAGTCCTATAATATTATGAGGATTATCACCAGATTGTTGAATAGAATCTTACTATAGCAAATACTATTCTTGTTAGTCACAATTATCTCTTCAGGATAGAGCATGCTGAATCAAAGGTGAAATATGTTCACTATTCTTGAAGCTAAAAGGTCGGCATGCTTTGCAAACCATTTGCAAAGAAAGAATGTGCAGATGTCTTTACAGTTCAGTGTTCTCCTGAAACGGTTCAGTGAAGTCAAAGTGTAAAAGCAGAGGTCAGCCCTTGGCTTTCCAACTGATGCCTTAAAACAATAATTGTATCAATAGCAGCAGAATGTGATTGCAATTACATGTCTGACTCAAATCAATTTGTCATGTCGTTATTAACTGATGCAACTAAAATGATGTATTATTTCTAACACACTTAAATTCAGTGCATTGCAATGAGAGGCAGAAAACAATATGAAAAGAAGTGATATTTAATTAAAGTATTTTATATCCATGATACCGTACTAAATATATTAGCTGTGAAAAGGAATCTTTACAGTTTTTAACCCTTTTAATGTTTGCAAGAAACCACCTTCCAAGAGCGATCACATTTTATAGAGAGGTACACTGAAAGCAAACAATTACAGACTGTTTATGAAAGATAAAACAAAACTATTAATTTCATGCATTCTTTTTTTACTTTAAAGGCAAATCATGGTATTACACTTTTCAATGCAACATTACAGTGATAATACAAAAACAATAATTTTGTGAGAGCAAGGAAAAAGAAAATGGAGAAGATTGTAAGAAATAAAGTAGTTTACTATTATTATATTTAAAAGGGATAAATAAAGAACCGCGTGTTTCCAGAATACAGTATTATTTTCCTTCTGTGATTTTTCAATCAAAGCACCAAGGTGGAGGTTAGTGGTACAATGACTAAAAAACTCCTTATTAAGTTTCATACTCTTATTTTCAAACTTTACAATAGTGTAGGAGTTACTATTTTAAATTAGATGTTCATTCTTTTTCCTATTCTGTTAATCACATTAACCTAACCACCACTGCAGCAAGTCCCACTGAAGTGAATCCAAGGCAATAGATATGAAGGCAATGTTCTCAGTTTCTCGTTGAGGTATCACCATCACACACAAGCAATGTGTGTATGTTTCAACTCTCAATATAAAAAAAAAGGTATGAAAAGCTGGTGAAGGGTGTGGAGGCATCTAGCAACAATTTAAACTTGGGAGAGAAATAACCCAAAGCAGCTAGTTACCTTTTAGTTCTGAATTTATTGTTGCTTTGATTGAAAACTGCTACATCTCAATCAATACAAGAAACTAAACAAAGGTCAGGTTGACAACCCATGAGCCTTTCAAGGGGAAGTCAAAATGCATTCATAAATGGAGGTTGGCACAATAGTTTACTTGGCTCAAATGAAAACATCTTCAGTTTACAACACTGTGTTTTCAATAATTATCTTCGGTTTGTAAAATACATATGAATGATAAAAATTTAAAGCACTGCTGGTGAAAATATTGGTTTGGATCCAAAGCACCACAGCATAAATTGAACTGCTGCTTGCATTGCTCTGCAAACACAAAGAAAGCAGTTTCTAGACTACTTTAAGATGCAAGTTTATAGCAGTTCCTGCGCTTCTTCTGACACATGTAGAGAACCGTCTTTGCTTGTATCGTACAACACTGTACATGCTTACTCAGAAATAAATCCCATTATAATGATAGTGGTTATTCCTTAATAAACCATGAGAGATTGTAGCCTCTGAATGGGCTCTTATGTATGTCCTGTCAGCACCGCTCACTTGTGAAAGGGGGCTTTCTCTCTTGCAAGCATGTGTTGGATTCTTGGATTCTTAGTTTTCCTTTTTCTGGGAATGTATTAGGGCAGGGGTGTCCAACCTTGGCAACTTTAAGACTTGTGGACTTCAACTCCCAGAGTTCCAGTTGCCAAGGTTGGACACCCCTGTATTAGGGTAAGGCTAACACATTGCTTTTGGGGATATAATATAGGTTATCCCAAACATGGAAGGGCATATTTGGATCCAACCTATTTTGGCCTGGTACTTATTATAACATTACAACACAGCGAATACACAAGTACTGTAAGATTTTAACAACAAAAGATCACATTCTGGAAGAAGGCAATGGCAAACCACTTCTATATTGCTGCCCCAAAGCTAGATGGATGGGTCTGTGAAGTCATCAGGAGCTGAGCCCAACTTGAAATAGACTAAAATAGCATGATTAGCAACGCAAAAAGAATAAGAAGTCCAGAAAACAAGCCCAATATCAATGTGTCATAACTCCAGGCTTAATTTGGGAAAAATATGAACTGAGAGATGGATTGAAGAAATTAGGGAAAAAAATAATGGCACTCATCCATTGCAAGGCAAGATCCAAAGATTTCCTTCTTTCTTTAGGTAAAGCCTTCTCTAGCTAGTTTGTGTTCTTTCCTATCAGGCAAGAGGCCTATTAAGCTGGATGCTTTTTCAAATGCCTGATCAACATGTTCTAATCTGAGTTTTGACTAAACAGTGTAACAAGTCAAACTTCATTTATTAGATACTCAATCATTGAGGGTATTTAAGTAAGTTACAGAAGTTCATCTATCATAAATAATCTGATTTTGAAAGTTAAGGATATGGGCCTTCTAATCTTACATGAAGTAGAGCCTAAATGAGAGGCAGGGAACAATCATAATCAGTTTAAATTTCTCACTAGTGAGAGTAACTAAATATGTCCAAATTTATTCTACATTAAAGCATACAGAGCAGCATTTGCTGGTGACAGTTATCACAGTCATTTAATTAGCATATTAATTTTATATGAAATTTTTAAAAATTGCATTCATCTGATGAGTAGAATAGGTCTAAAAAGAGTAACATTCTAATTGTTTTTAAAAAATACTGATATTTGGGATAAGATTTGTAGGAAACAGGTTGGGTTGGTGATGGATGAGAAAATGTCCAGCATCAAGTTCAGCTTTTACAAGTAATATAACATTCAGGTGCCCATTTACTAATGGCAATACCAATTTATTCATTACAAATAATTGTACCGACTCTCTTAGAGTTGACAGGCCTGCCAGTGCAGTCTCTCCTCATTTATAGGCTTATTGCAATGAGTATCAACTCTGACACTTGAGAGCTTCAATACTTTATGGCCATCATACATGATCTGTACATTCTTATCTCACCAGAGGACCATGTACTGGAGCGAATTAACCACTTCCATGTAGCAAAGTCAAACATAGGGTTGACCTTTTCCTCTGGATTTTACTTCCTATGTTAAGATCATAACACAAGCCTAACTACTTCACTATATTTAGCAGAAATGCAAGTTAGCCCATGTTGTTATTGCCATGGATGAATAGTTGCAAGGATCATTCTTTATAAAGCAGATTTATATAGCTGACAATTCAACCGCTGTCCAATATTTTAAAACAAACCAAAAGATAGGTCACCTGTGTTAATTTGGGGACACGGACTTAAGACCTGATCTCAGAAAAGACACTGTTTTAAATTATGATAGCCAATGAGAGGGCACCAAATTCCAGGTAATCTAATTTAATGAATTGTACGTTGATTTTGTGATGGCCAGACTGACATAAAATAAGCAAAATCAATGCAAAATTGTGATTTTGTTATCAGTTCCGTACTATCTTTAGGAAGCTATTTTAGTTTTTAAAATGTTTTAAATTTATCTTTTGGGACCATGAAGAAGAAATACGATATCAACATAGCAGTATGCAGCACTAATACAGTTCTCCACAAGAGCTTAATTATAATGCAGTGAAGAGCACCAGTAAACTGGGTGGGGACTTTGGCTTACCAGCTCTGCAGCTAGCTTCTCAATAGAGTTACGGTGAAAGTATGTGTTAAGCTGTCACCAAGCAGATACAAACACTATGGAAGTCTAGGACTTCTTAACAGGAAGAAATCTTGGTGGGGGTGTCCCTTGGCTGGTTGAAAATGAAAGCTTCTGGGTGAGCACTAATGGTTGGCTTTGCATTCTGTACTAAAGTTTCTAGGAAGGAAATCTAACCATGCATCTGAGGGCCTCTACATATGGGGCAATTCTTTTCCCCTCTTGAGGAACAACAAAAAAAGCTACAATTAACCCACCTTCGAAATACAGAGCTATGGCAGATCACAATAATACAATAAAAATTAAAAGGCCAAACAAATAGTATACAGATACATACCCCTGGCTTAAAATGTATCAGTGTTGCTCCTTTCTATTCAGTATCTCATTACCGTATGACGGTACCCAAATTCTTTAATAATGTTAACATATACAAGGGATTAGCTGCTGCCACCGAGAATTGCTATAATCCTTCAAGCATTTATTTAGCACAACCATTGATTTTAATAGGTCTTGTGCAGAAGCAGTAGCACCATAGGTTTCACTCAGAGTCTCTCTTCCTACTTAGTGATTGTTTGACATTTATGAAACGTAAATATGGGGATTAAACTGAAAAGCCTGAAAGCTTCCAAAAACCAGTTTACTGGAAACTGTGTAGGAAAGGCAAAGGACAGAATTCCTCTTAAAGACAAAAAGAAACGGAGGCGAAGTTTTTAGACACCATTATCACAATCAATCTGAATTTAGTGTAGTCTACATTTCAGTGGAAATAAAAGATAGATTAAAGGCGATCAACGTCACTTTTCAAAACTATGTTGAGAACCAGAATTTATAGTATGTACAAGTGTTTTTTAAGACATTGTTGAAAGCTTAAGATATACTAAATAGTGAAAGCATGAAGTGCAGAAACCTATCAATAAATGCAGCAATGAATTCTGAAGAACGCACTTAAAAGAATGCACTTTGGAATGTGTCTATACATCTAAACGAACATATGCATACACCCTAGATATAGACTCCATTTACATAAACAAGGTACACACTGGTATCAAATCAAATGCAAAAAAAAGCTTGATTAGCACTCTAGGCTTGTCTACCTCACTACACTGTAAATGAAGCTCAGGCAACTTTGGTCTTGATAGTTCAATCCTTGGATCTGTGAATACTCACTACATTTCAAAATCAAGCCCAGCCCAGCCCAGCCCAGCCCAGCCCAGCCCAGTTCAGCCCAGCAAAGCCAACAGAATCCATGCCAAACGACATTTGTAGAACCCTTCCATTTTTGCAAGAAGTAACTTTTAGAACCGTGTGCCTGGCATTTAAAATGGGACAAACAAACATTCAAGGAAACTTAAAAGTTCATTCATACACAAGGTGAAAATAAGTTGCTGTTTTATGCAATGGCTACCAGGTGACCTTCAGGTTACTTCTCTAAGAATTGGCTAGGTTGGTTTTGCAGGGGAAGGTTTTGAAGGCATTTTGCTGCTTTGCCTATAGAATAGTGCAGGTTTTTTTATCCTTGAAGGGATTTTCTGAAGCAGGTATGCCCATTAGTAAAGGATCCTTCCTGGCATGTTCCTCACAATAGCACATTAGATCTGCTGATGCCTTCGACACCTGCAAAGGAAAAAAAGTGCAGAATTATAAATTTTCCCAAAAGCTTCTTTTAATAAAGCGAATTTTAATATACATTGGTTGAATATGTGCCTGTGTACGCACCCCCCCAAAAATAGGCTGCTCTCTTTTAGCTTTTGTTTATGAATGAGGCTTTAGTGGTAAATAAACAAATTGCAAAACAAGAAGGCACATTTATGCATAAACCTAAAGGTTTATGATTTTTTATACTTTTTTATTTGTGAACAACAAATAGGGGGTAGTACAGGATTAATTGCTAAGAAGCTTGAGATGAGATTAAAAGCATTTTCTATTCTTCACATATGCATCTGAAGAAGTCTGGGCATGCCTACAGCATTCTTATCTTCTACAAAGAAATCACAGCCCTGGTGCTCTACGGGGCCATGTTGACCAAGATATGATGGAGACGTAATCTAGTACATCTTAACAGCAGCTTTCTACAAATGGCTAGAGAATCACAGAATAAGAATTGGATGAGTCCATTCAGACCTTCGGATCAACCCCTTCCTCAATGCAGGAACCACAATTAAAGCATTCTAGGTTATCCTTCTCCTTCAACTTTCAAAACAAGGGAGCCTATCGCCACTTTGAATAACTACCGTAATTCCACTGTCAACCTGTTTTATGATTTGAACACTCTTGCTAACATTCAACCAGAACCTCTCTTTCTAGGATTTAAATCTGTTCTTCCATGGCCTGCACTCTGGAATAGGGATGGAGAGGCCGTGACCTTCTACGTGATGTCTCTTCAGGGATTTGAAGAATGCTATTAAAGGTCCTCTCAAGCATTGTTTCTGAAGGTTAAACACCTCCAGCCCTTTCAAACTCTCTGCTGGAGATTTGGTTTCCTGTCCCCTGAAATCATTCTTGGTGTCCTTCTCTAAACCCAGATCTTTAAGACATGGTGACTGAAAATGGCACAGTACTTGAAACTGGGTCTGAGCAAAGCAGAACAATGATTACTACCTTTCTGTAATTTGGAAAGTATACTTTTAATAACTGTATTTGCCTATTTTGTTAGCCTGCTGACTTGTATTTAATTTGTAAGCAACTACTATACCATTTTCTTTGTAAATACAAGTAGTCCTTGACTTATGAGCATAATGGAACTTGACCATTATGGTTGCAAGTCGTGAAAGTTAAGCAAACACTGCAGTCATAAAAGTGAGCTCATTGTTTGCTATGGGTTGTTTTTGTTAAAAAAACAGAAGTAAAATATGGCCATATGACTGCAAGTCACTGCAAACGACTGCAAATGTGGACCAGTTAGAGAACACCCAACATGTGGTCACATGATCATCTTGGTGTGTGTGTGGGGGGGCATTGACACTTTGGAATTGTGTTGTTAAGTACCTTTAAGGGAATCTATCAGAATTTTGAACGGTTGCTAAGCGATGGGCCATAATTTGAGGACTACTTTTACTCCTACTAAGCCAAGTACCCCACAGCCTATCTTTATGTAATTAATACATGTTTACTAAATTATTGTTCCCTCAATTTTTGGTCAAATTTTGCAGATTTGTGAAGTATGCCATTTACTTTTTCACTCGTGTCATTATTGAAAATACCGAAGAATAGAAGATCCAGGACTGATTCCTTCCTCTAACTGGATCAGAAACAATTGATAAACATGCCTGCAAATTGTATTTTGAACCAGTTATGTATCAATTTAATTATCAGGCCATCCAACCTATACTTAACCAGCTTGCTAATTGGCATGTCAAATGCTTTTGATGACGTCAAAATATAGCTATAATTATAATCTGGACCAGAATTTTCCATCACTAAGCAATGCAGATGTAAAGTGCAAGATCACGTGGTCACATCATTTAGCAATGGCAACCCCCATTGCCATTATTAATTTCCTAATGAACAAAATCAGTGGGGCAGCCAGCAGGAAGTTGCTGGTCTCAGGTGGCTTGCAAGCAGGCAAGAAGAGTGGTAAAATGGCTGCTGCTGGGTGTGAGAGAGAGTGGGGTGCATGGGTGGCCAGGGAGATGTGGCTGAAGCGTGTCAGGGGTTGGAACTGCTGCTCTCAGGGGGAAAGGCTGCCTGAGAATGTATGAGTGGTTGAGGTACCATGAGAGTGCAGTGAGGCTTGGGAAGGGTGTATGGGAGGGAGAGACTTACCAGAGCAACTTATGACCTTCACTGCCTATTTCCCTATTGACTTTGCTTATGGGAAGCTGCCAAGGAAGGTCACAAATGGTGATCAAGTTCCCAAGTGTCCAATTGTGATCATGTGACTGTACAAGTGATGGGGACAGTTGAACTCAAAAGGACTGGTTGCTACCATCAGTTGCTACCACTCATTCAGGCACTCTCATAACTGTAAAAGGTCACTAAATTGTGATCATTAACCGGGGACCACCACTCTGTCTACAGCACGGCTGTCAAACACGCAGCGTCACGTTGCTGTCACGTGACATTTCACGATTTTTTCCCCTTCGTGGAGCTGGAATGGATGTGGCCTGCATATGACGCATCCAGCCCGCAGGCTGCCAGTTTGACACTCCTGCTGATCTATAGGAAGAATATGCAGTATCTTCCATGCATGAACTGTTTCCTGCATAGGATAGCTGGCTCTCAAACACAAACCATGAAGAGGATGAATGAAAACAGGGGATTAAATGTATCAACCTTTCCCAATTTGCCTTATAAAATCACTCTGTGATCCCTCCCACTTTTGTTTTGGTTGAAACCCAACTACCAAAGTATTCTGGATTTTGTTTTTGCCAAAGCATGGCTCACCGAACCAGTTTGGCACAACTTCCATAAGGGAAGAGTGTATTTCAGGTTATTTTTCATTTCATGCACATCCTTAGCCTACAGCATTCCCACAATCTATTATGGAATTTGCTTGATCAAAAAAGAGATTATCATCTGTCTGCAAAGACTCATTCTTGACAAATCCATGCTGATTTTTTTATCATTGTTTTCAAGGTGCTGTCACGTGCTTATGATTTGCTTTAGAATTTCTGCAGGTATTGATGGCAGACTGGTCTGTAATTTGCTGCATTTTTTGCTTTCTGCGTTTTCTGTTTTCTGATTTTGAAACGTGTGAGAATTTTGACTAGATCATCAGTTATTTCCTCTCTACCTTGCAATTAATCTAGAGATTTAAACTTATTAAAGGTGAATTCTCTGATCATGTTTTTATAAAATTCAAGGTTCATTTATACCAATGCTTCCTGCTATTCACAATTCCAAGTAGAGCACATACATATACGTGTGTGTGTGTGTGTGTGTGTGTGTATACTAGAGAAGACTGCATCAAATTAAAATTTGAGTAACTAACTTTTTCTTAGCATTCCGCTAACATTTAATACATACTAACATTTTTCTTTTGTGTTTTGAATGTACCTAATAGGCCTTTTTGTTCCTCTTGGGATTCTTTCTTTTCATTTCTTTTTTTAAAATAAATTTTATTAAGTTTCCAAATTTTAAAAAACATAAAACATTTCTTTTCATTTCTTATTCTAACATTTCACTTTCTTGATACTAGCTCTATAGTTCCAATTCACTGTCTATATTATTCCTTTCTATTTATTCTTTTTATTCTTCCCAATCCAACAAAAGGTTGGAGAGAAATTGTATAAGACTTTTGGGACTTTGTTTCTCTGGAAGTCAGCAGGATAACTTTTTGAAATTTGAAAAGAACAGGATCAAAATTACATTATGACATGGGACTGACCAACATAATATCCAAATGTGTGTCTATTGCACCATGAAGTTTCATCATTAAGGAAAATATATTAGACTCACAAAGCCATATTCCAATAACTTCAAGGCAATTCTTAAACTTGATTTTTCAAAATGAATTTTGAAACATAAGAGACACAGAACACACTTTAAATAATAAACACATAGTTCATAACAAGAAAATATATTATGCTTAACCTTTATCCTTTCTATAGATGCTTCTATTCTCAACTGCTGAACAGTTCTTCTTGCCTGAGCTATGTTGTTTGGGGTGCCAGATGTTTTGCTAGACATTCTCGGTGAACTTTTCCAAGCACTGTTAAGAAAAGACAGTGGATTGTTTTGCTGGTAAAAAAATCATAATTAATCAACAACAGGAACAAAGGTTCAGAATATTTCATGTCATCCAATGTAACAGTAACTAAGATTTCACAACAGAAGAAGAAAATAACTTTGCAATAGTAAAGCTGATAAAATATTGGGAGCAGTGAGTTTATAAGTGTAGAATTTGTCAAGGATATAATGATTTAAATTGAGATGAAATAAATAAAATAGAATTAAGAGAGTTAAAAGAGGGGAGAAGTTATATAGAAAATGTAGAATGGTAATAAGATATGGAACGGTATATAAAAATGAGCATGAACTTGAATTTGTGTCTGTACGAAGAGATGTAACCCGGGATCAAGCTGCTTTCAAAAAAGATGTTTTATGTTTTCATGTTTTGTGTTTTGTTTGTTTATGTTTGTTTTTTAAAAATCAATAAAATTTTTGGGGGAAAAAAAGTGTAGAATTTGTTTTTATTTTGAAGAACATCAGTTCATAACCATGAATAATCTTTTTTTCAAACATTTTATAAATTGAAACAAACAGTAGAATTGTTGTTTTCAAAAGACATTCTGTATATTTATTCACATAAAAATGAAATCAGATACACAAAAATGTATTTTTCTTACTGAATGTTATACAGTATGCAACACCTTTAATGTTCAAAGTCTATTCCTCTGCAGTTGGTCTCTTTAGAATTTGGGTTCTAAGTATTCAAGGTTTATGCCCATCAGATCACCTGCTAAATATATTTGGTCTAGTGGTTAAGGCAAGTACAGGCAAGTGTTCAAGGTTTAATCCCCCTCAGATCATCTGCTAATTATACCATAGGTAGATAGCTCTATGCATGTGTGTGTGTGTGAGTGTGAGTGTGTGTGTGTGTGTGTGTACACGCATGCACATGAAAGCTCAACCTACCTCACAGGGTTGTTGCTTTGAGGAAAATAGGAGAAGGAGTACAGGTAGTCCCTGACTTACAATAGTTTGTTTAGAGACTGTTTAAAGTTACAATAGCACTTTAAAAAGTGGCTTATGACCATTTTTCAATTACGACCTTTCCTGCATCCCTGTGATCATGTGATCAAAATTCAGATGCTTGGCAACTATTTCTATGTTTAGGATCATTGCTATGTCTCAAGGTCATGTGATTTTGCGACCTTCTGACAAGCAAAGTCAATGGGGAAACCAGATTCACTTAACACCCAGGTTACTAACTTATCAACTGTAGTGAGTCACTTAACAACTGAAGCAAGAACAGTTGTAAAATGGGATAAGACTCACTGAACAAATGTCTCACTTAACAAAAATGTGGGGCTCAATTGTGATCGTAAGTCGAGGACTACCTGTATTAGGTAGGTTTGCCACCTTGAGTTATTTATAAAAATACACATATTTATAGAAATACACATACGAAGTAGACAACTATGAAAAGGAATGGATCAAAATCACCACAGGCTTTTAATCCATAGCGGCCTGTGAGAGCATGTGCTTTATCACCTCTGTCTTCTAAGGGGCGCAGTATCTGCAGTCACCCAATGGTAGCTTGTAGAGCTAAAACAATTAGCAGGCTTATCCACTGTTCTTCTTTCTCACGTGCTTGGGATGAAGGTGGCTTATTGTACTGTCTTTTCTAAACCTTCCTGAGCTATTCAACTTTCAGCACTTCAACGTTAATAATTCTTACTGAAATTTCTTGAGAGTTAAGGTGATAATTTATTAAAGTTAATTCTCTGGACTCCCAAAAGAAACCTTTGTTCAATTTGCATAGGCTTCAACATATTACAGGTATCTTATTTGCATGTGCTTCAACATATT